CGACTCAACAATATAGTCAGCGGTAAAACCTATGAGTCCCGGGACCCGGTGGTCAGCGGTAAACTCTTCAGTCAGTATCCTTATCCAATTCGCAGTTTGTGCCTCTTTCAAAGTTGTGTTTGCTGTCTTCACTAACATTCTTGATTTTCCCAGCAAGTGAGGTGTTCGTCTCAGTATCATAGTTTGTTGTTAAATCAGCTATCACAGTTTTGGCAGTATTTTCGTAGTTTGAACTCACATATGGCTCATTTGTTATCTCGTGAGAACTAGTAAGAACTTTCCACATTTGGCTAGCTTTCAGGCTATAGAATTCATGGACCGGCCCATTCCCAAAACTCTTGACATCATTTAGTGTGGGCCTACCACGAATGGCGTGTGCATTTGTATGTGAGATGAGCGTATACGACATCAGTTTTCGCGAAACGGTCTTCATAAACCAAAACATTCTGTACATTATGTTGTTTACGAAGGGCGAGCACATGATAAGACAAGCTGTCACACTCTCATCCCCAGTTTCTGCGGTCCATGCAAGGAACACCTGGAACCATGAGCCCCCTTTGATGACCAAAACACTAGCATTTTAAGACTCGGGCTCTCATACGGAAGCTGAGTAACAAGACAAAGGACTTTTCTTAGAGTCCAGAAAAATGTAGGAAGATGGAGACGCACAGTTTTGGGAGAAAGGGGATTGGGGGTTATAATAATTTCATAATAGTAAAACAATGTAATAGGGCTTGCTCAATTAAAACAATAGTAAATAAAACGGTTTTCAATTGAGTGTCGAAATTAAGTAATCAGGGATTTACTTTGGTTTTAGTTTTGTTATTACAGCAATTTGAGATTCGCTGAGTAGTCTAATTGGTAAGTAATTTGTTTGGTTTTGGTCTTAAGACACTCCCTTGAAAATCACTCTAGACTTCTGGGGGTTTTGGTTTTTAGACAAGAAAGAGGCTTGGGGAGTGAAACGAAATAAGAATAGGAAAATTATTTAATAACGTTTCATTCTTATCTTGTCACAGCCAACTAAAAGATTACAACATTACAATGAAAACTAAGCTTACATTTTGTTTTGTAAAATACTCTACCTCAGAAGAAGTTTTTCACGTTCTTATTATCAAGAAATGATGCCGATGATTCAACACGATCTACACTAAGCGACTGTAGTCATTTTTTCTTAGGTTCTGGCATCTTTTTCCTGTGCTGATTTTGGATGTCTCTCACATTTTAGCCATTTCTTTGTCATTTCAGCACTGGTGTGAGAATGATCTGATCACCTCCGCTGCAAACAAAATAAAATTCTAAGTAAGCCTACATAATAGTAAAATTCATCATGAAAATGGCTAACATCGCACCACCTTTTAATCCTTTTAGTCTACATGTTAAAATGAAATTTGTTTTGCATTTCTATGAAGAGCTAAATCAGGGATCAAACACCTTTATCAATTTAGCCAGAGCTGTTTTCTTTCAAAATATTTTTTGGGCATGTCGCAGGACATGACTCAGTAAATTATACCAGAATGAACTCAAGACATTGTTTTTGAAAAGAAAACAGATGTTGTGGTTGGACATTTGATTTTACAACAAGCAAAATGGTACAGAAAAAAGAAAAGCTGAATGGCTAAAAAAACAAAGACCAAAAACAAAGTATAACACAACTGATATGGATGTATTTCAATATGCTTCACTGACCTTTTATAGCAGAAATTATCTTTGGATCCAGTGGCGCAAGGTCTTTGGTCCCGTAAACTGTAGACTGCATCAAGGTTGCTTTAGGGAATAGTTTGTCTGCCAAGCAGAGAGCCATCCCTGATGGTTTTGATGCTGCTTTGACGAAAATGTAGTCATTTCTCCCTAGCTGTACGTTTCCAGATCCACCAATTTCAACTGTATCTATATAAATGATAAATAAAAATCAACATGATAACATCAACATCAACAGTCCCTATCAATTTGAAATTCAGGTAAATTAACCGCAAGTAACTGGGAAAGCTGACAGATGGGAATACTACAAAGTATCAAAGATAGCCTAATGGTGCTCATACATCATCAAGTGTCCAAATGAAGTAGGAGCTATGCAGTCTGACCTGAAAAAT